GCCTCAAGAAAATGAAGTGTTTAAAAATTGTTCTAAAGTGTTTGTCTTTGGGCAAATGCACTTATCATCCATCACGTGGAGCAGATTAGGTCATCCCAGCACAAAGAAGGAACCACAGTCATGATCACAAATCTTATTTATGAGCCACAGTGTGAAGATGTTTGTCTACTGTTCGTCTGACGCATAATACTTCATGAATCACTGAACGGATTTTAAAGAAACTTTCAAAATGCAATCAATGGATGCACATCTACAACTAACATGGAGTCAACCCAATTCAAGCTGGCCGCCACAGCAAAGAGATCTTAAACTCCAAATGGGCTACAAGTCAGACAGTTTACAGATGTGGAGCTCACAGTAGCTGAGAGTCACTCACAACACATACAATGATGACAACACATAAAACTTTATTATTATTATTATTATATTTTGAGAGTGACGTCTTGCACTTTAAAAAAAGTTTTGATCAAAATGGCAATCAAAATCAAAATATAGCTTCATGATTTTTCATGCTCTCTGTCTAAAGTTGTGAGAGGAGCAGGTGATGTGCACTGTTTTACTAAATACAAGGCCTTTAATTTTATTAGCGCTGACTTGAAAGCAGCTGCTTGTTCATTAAGTCTATAATAGTCTAACAAAGTCCACGCTCAATAATCCAGGTACACAATCCAACATTTTTCAGTCAGGTCATCTGGACAGTTTCTTTTTGTTTGTGCTGAAACGTTTCACCTTCGGTCCGGAAGGCTTCATCAGTCGAGGAGACACACAACAAATCTGATTCAAACAAATCACTTATTTAACATTTAACAAGCAGAACTGGTTTGTTCCACTTTGGAGGAAGCTGTTGGAGGAAGAATCAGTTTTGTTGTGTGTTTCCTTGACTGATGAATCCTTCTGGATCGAAGGCGAAACGTTTCAGCACAAACAAAAAGAAACTGTTCAGATGACCTGACTGAAAAATGTTGGATCTATAACAGTCTGTTCTTTTTTTTCTTTTAGTTTTGGCAGATTTCTGATTTTCAAACAAAACAGGACAAATTACTGTAGCAGGAAGTGGTTCACAAATATCTAACAAAGTTAAGTGAGGTCCTCTGGACAGATTCTTCTTTGTTGAAACGCTCACAGTCTTATATATTTTTTTATTTTTATCCTGTAATACAACACCAGAAATGACTTATCTTTATGAAACATTGGAGATGAGTTTTAATATTCAGCAAGCATCTGAAATGATAAAAAGCCATCACTGTGAGGAATACCTTCAGCTCCTAGAGTCACCTGTGGTCACACCTGTAGGAGGTTACAGGTAGAACACACGGCCCACACTGCCCTCTTGTGTCTGTTCGTGGAATTAAACCTCAGTGGTCACGTGGTCACTGGACTGGAGCATTGTTCATGTCTGAATTGCTGTGAGTGATGTTAAATGCCTCATCAGTTCAAAAGAACTGTGTGTGTGTATAGTATGTTTTCTGAGAGGAGGCCTGAGGGCGGCTTTATCGTGTGACGGTCATCCCCGTGCACTCCGCTGCCTTCCTGCAGGCGGATAAGCTGCACCCCGTGCCCGGCCTCGGCAGCATGTGACCAGCTTGTGATCCTGGAGCCACGCAGACAAGACGGGTTGCAGGCCCCGAGGAGGAGAAGTTCCCTCTGTCTGATCACGTACCACATGGTGGAAGAGATGGAGACTCACTCTGATAATAATAATAATAATAATAATTTTCATTCAACCTTTATTTAGACAGGTTAATCCCATTGAGCCTCGAGGACTCATTTACAACAGAGACCTGAAATTATATAACTAGGATTTAATAGGATATAATAACTATAATAGCAATAATATAATTGCTGTATCTTATACTTCAACAGCATCTTACAGTGCCAGCTGCAACTTTAAAAACAAAGTTGAATGTTTGGGTTTTTATATTTTACTTCATTATTGCCTATTGGTTGTGATTAAATATATATGTAAGTACAAAGTAACCTACATAAGTTTTAGTTTACATAAATATGATAAGAATACAGCTCACTAATTAGAAATAATGGCAGGATTAATAATAATCAAAGGCCTATTATTTGTTAAAGCAATCCACGTCACCCGTCGCCTTTTACGTCCGAGTTTCAGCCCGAGATCGTGTCATGCTGCAGGGACTAAGGTCAGATATGATGCATGATTTCATGTGTCATACTCAAAGTATGTGTCGGGGATGACCTTCAGTTAGTATCACACCAAACTTTTGTTAATGTTTTTTTACTGTAAAATTGAGTTTTAGCCAGTATCATGGTGGCTAAGGTTGATTGGTGATGGCAACTAACTTGACTTGACTCCAAACCTTAATCAGCTGCACGTTTACACCCAATATCAACATTTTGAGAGTTCCATTAAAATCTGGGCTTATGAGATGTTTCGCCAACAGACAAACCAGGTTAACACAAACAGTTAACGCAAAGGTTTTTAAGCAAAGATATTGTGCAGTAAGTAGCACTTGGACTATGTGTTGTGAGTAACTCTCAGCTACTCCCCCACTAAAGTTTAGCTCAATAGCACAAAAAATGATTGAAAGGTCGCCATTTTTGTGTTTTCTAAGGTTAGTTGGTCACTTTAAACTGGGATGACTTCAAAAGTTTTTAATTCATAAAGGTCCATGAATATTTTTTTAAATTGTCATTAAAATCTGACTTCTGGTTTATGAGAAGTCAGATTGCTGTGAAGGTTGCTGTGGCTGCCTTCTTAAATTGAGCTGACTCCAAAAGTTAATCAGTTATAGATGTATATCAAATGGTTACTTTCTGCTTGTTTCATTAACATTTTAGTGGTAAAAGACAAAATATTAGCCTGTTTATATGACTAAATATGTCTCATGTCCCTTTCATGTGTATCTTCTATTTACAGAACAAATAAAATGCATTTTCTCTCGTATAACGTGTTTGTTCCAGTCACCGTGAAACGTTGGTGTCATTAGTATTTCTTTCAGTGCTGCTTGTCTTGTTCAGTAACATAACCAAGAACTTTGTTACTTATTCACAATAGTGTAAAAAGCATCAGTGCCAATCATTTGTGAGTTAAATAACAGTGTGGTTCACAGCTGGGACACATTAAACAGGAACTTAAACAACAACCTTATCATTAGCATGTTGTTTATTATTTATACATTTTAAATGCAATCTATCATAAACTCAGCAAGTGGTTTTGAACCAGTTTGACATGACTGTCGACGAGGAAGAGGGCCGGCACAAGAGGAGGGGGCGTGCCAAAGACACCATCTTAGCACCAACATAACTGGTTTGTTCCACTTTGGAGTGAGCTGTTTGGGGGAAGGATCCGTTTCGTGTTGTGTGTTTCCTTGACTGATGAAGCCTTCTGGATGGAAGGTGAAACGTTTCAGCACAAAAAAGAAACTGTCCAGATGACCCGACTGAAAATTGTTGGATGGACAAAACACAAAATCTGATAGTCACTGATCTTAAAATGATAGTACAGATTTTTTTCAAGTGAACAAAAGGTTATGAACATTCAATATCTTACCTGTTGTGGATAGCTCTTTGAGTGACCTTCGTTTAAAGAGATGAGGTTTAAATCTTGACCAAACTGATGAGAGAACAGCTCATCTGAACGGGACACAAACATATGTGGATGGCTGCCATCTTGAAATATCTCCAATTTCAAATATTTGGTAGCAGTTCACACAAGCACTAGTTTATACATCATCACACATTGTAATTAATTTCCTATTCCAAAAAAAAAAGGTTATTTGCGACTGTAAATAGGAGCAGAATCTGTCATGTTTGTGGCTATTTGAACCCAAAGTGCAGGCAAAACGAGCATCAGGCTCTGTTTACTTCATTTAAATACTAGACCCTTACCAGAGTTGGACCGGCTGAAAGACACTGTAACATCTTTATGAGGACCATGGAAACTATCTGGAAGTGTTCAAGGACAGTCACCATCTTATCCCCCATCCCCTCTTTGCAAAATGTATTATGTCTCTATGTTGCTTTTTTGTTCTGAGGTAGATTTTTTGCGCCCTTACACTGTGCCCTGTGTCAAGGACACGGTGTGAGAGATCTTTTTTTAATACCTTCTCTCCTCGTGTTTTCTTCCCCTTGTCTTGTCTAAGCGATAAGGGCAGCGCTTCTTAGAAGCCGCAGCCCCGGTACACCTCCGTCTACCCTTCAGATGGCTGTACCGAACGTATTTTCACTGTACTTAACTGGCAATGACAATAAAGTTGATTCTGATTCTGAAATACTACTTGGACCAAGTATGTGTACTGAAAGAACTCTTTTACATGTAATACTAGTACAAAGACCATGGCCCTCATGATAACTTGCAGATATGACGACCTCAATCATAAAAGCCTAAAATTTGATTTAAATGGTGTGTTATGTGAGTTTTCCACCCTCTGTCCTCTCGATTTCTTCTTCTTGCCTTTTTTTAAATAGATAATATATTTGACTATGCATACATTTTTGCCCATACTTTGCCCTGAGGGGCGATTAGGAGTTTGGGGCTTGGTGGGCGGGTCATAGTGCTCACATAACCACAAGAACACCCACTTCTGGCTCAGCTGGTCCCAAGACAAAGTGCAAAAGGAATCAAGAGTTTTATCCCGAGCATGTGATGCTCATAATAATCTCTGTGTGTTTGAGAGTATGAAACTGCTTTTTTTTTTTTTTTTTTTCAGAGGACAGCTCCCCAAACGACTCAGTGAGTAGTGAGAGAACTGGAGACTGGTCTGGCTCTATGAGAGGGGGTGGAAGGAGGTTTGGGAGCTGGTTGGATGGTAGGTCAGAGAAAAGAAAACTACTTTTAAAATCTTGCTAAGGTTTTTGTTCTTCTTGTTTACGTCACTAACCATCTAGAAACCCGGTTGCATTTCCTTGGAGTATCTTCTTGGCTGTGAGTCTTCTTTTCTGTGTTCTGTGTTTGACCTTGCCAGTTGAAGTTTGTGACATCAGGACTTTCCATCCATACTGTAAGACTGCAGTGGATCTGACTTTTCAACATGAGGATCCTGATTGTGTCTGTGGTTCTGCTGGGTCTCATCAAGACCTGTTTGAGCCAGTTCCCTCGCCCTTGCGCTAACTCGGACAGTCTGAGAACTAAAGAGTGCTGTCCAGTGTGGGAAGGAGACAATTCTCCTTGTGGAGCCATGTCAGGCCGTGGATTCTGCACAGAGGTCCAGGTCTCAGATGAACCCAATGGGCCACAGTACCCTCACAATGGGATTGATGACCGAGAGCGTTGGCCCTTGGCTTTCTACAACCGGACATGTCGTTGTGCTGCAAACTACGGAGGGTTTAACTGCGGGGAGTGCAGGTTTGGTTACTGGGGTGCAAACTGTGCTCAGTACAGAGAGTCCGTCCGCAGGAACATCCTGACCATGTCACCTGCTGAGCAGCAGAAGTTCATTTCATATCTCAACCTGGCAAAAAACACTGTCAGTCGTGACTATGTCATCGCCACGGCAACGAGAGCAGAGATGGGCGAGAACGGTGAGAACCCCATGTTCTCTGACATCAACACCTACGACATGTTTGTCTGGATCCACTACTACACGTCCAGAGACGCCTTCCTGGGAGGGCCGGGGAACGTTTGGAGAGACATCGACTTCGCTCATGAGTCTGCAGGCTTCCTGCCCTGGCACAGAGTCTTCCTGCTCCACTGGGAGAACGAGATCAGGAAGCTGACGGGGGATTTTAACTTCACCATTCCATACTGGGACTGGAGGGATGCCCAGTCCTGTGAGGTGTGCACTGATGCTCTGATGGGCGGACAAAGTTCCATCAATCCCAACCTCATCAGCCCTGCTTCTGTCTTCTCGTCGTGGAAGGTGAGGCAACCTGTACCATGCCGACTTTACTTCTGTAGGCACAATGTTCATTATTTGTATATATTCAAAACAAAGGTGAACATTATTTTCCTTGGTTTGTTGCCATTTCACGCTGCAGGTGTTTTGGATTCATTTCAGTTGATCCTGTTATTCCCCCCCAAATTAAAGGATTTGTTAATTCCTTCATGTATTTATTCTCGAATTATCATTAAAACCAGAAAATTTGTCTTAAAGGATTTATAACTGCAATAAAGCATGTGCACAAAAATACTCTCCGTGACAAAAATCCATTGAGAATAACTTCACTGCCTTTGCTACCTAGAATGCCATCATCAGGCTATTTTTGGGATAGTTTAGACAAACAGACTGTCATGTAGGAAAGCTTTTTTCACTAATGTCTAACTAGCTTTCGGTTGGCTCATAGGCTTTGTAACTACAGCAGCTCAGGTGTTGTGTGTTTGGTCATGTGCAGGTGGTCTGCAGCCAGCCAGATGAGTACAACAACCAAGAGGCGTTGTGTAACGCTACAGCAGAGGGCCCTCTGTTGCGTAACCCCGGCACCCATGACCCAAACCGCGTGCCAAGACTCCCCACAACAGCTGACGTGGACTTCACTGTGGGGCTCCCTGAATACGAGACGGGAAGCATGGACCGATTCGCTGACATGAGCTTTAGAAACGTCCTGGAGGGTAAAAACTCAAACACTTACCCCTCAGACAGGCTCAAGAGCTGAACCAAACTTCTAATTCACAAACATGTTGAATGATAATATTGTACATGATCGTAGTGATGGTGGTGTGGGAGTTCAAACTGACAGTTAGAGGAAATGATGCTGGAAATGAGCAGCTTTTCAGTCAGAGTCAATTATGTGCACAGGTTCCCAGTTACATCCAACAAGAAAAGGTAAAAGAAAAACAGCGATAAGATCCAAGATATGAACTAAAAAAAGCATAAACTAAAAATACACTAAGGACTAATAGCATAAAAACAATACGCCTAACAGCAGCACGAACATGAGTCTGTACGAGCAGATGAGCACGAATAAACACAGTAACATGAAATAGATCAGCAGCAACATGAAACAGATCAGCAGCAACATGAAACAGATCAGCAGCAACATGAAATAGATCAGCAGCAACATGAAATAGATCAGCAGTAACATGAAACAGATCAGCAGCAACATGAAACAGATTTCATTTCATTTCATTTCATTTATTTTATTCATTTCAAATTAAAACACAGGAAAAAACAATTTACAATCCATATGGATAAAAAAAGACAAAAGAAAATTTAAAATGAAAGGAAGCAGAAGAAGAAAAAATCTTATAATAACTGCCCCTTCTTAGACAAAAAATCAATACAAACAATCAATTAAAGCAATAGTCATTCATGAAAACAATTTTTCAACAACTAAACAATCAATGCAATTCATGCATTAGTCAACCATGAAACAAATAATCAACTTATAGTAATATAATGATTTTAAAAACATTTTATATTAACCAAATTACATATATCTTTGCAACATTATACTCTTAATTTTTTTCTTGAATACAGACATTGACTGAGCTGTTTTAACATCAGTTTCCAAACTATTCCATAGTCCTATTCCATGTATCAACGTTGACCGACCCTTTAAACTAGTTCTATATTTAGGTTTAACAAAAATATCAGTGCCCTTTAGATTATAACAACTTTTTCTTTTTACAAAAAGCACTTGAATATTTGAGGGCAGTGTATAATGACGTGCTTTATACATTAACAAAAGAATATTATATTCCACCAAATCATAAAACCCCAGCAACTTCATTTTACAAAATAATACACTAGTAGGATGATAGTAATGAGTTTTCGTTATAATTCTTAAGGCTCTTTTCTGCAAGATTAAAATAGACCTAGTAGTCGTTTTGCATGCTATGCCCCAAACATCAACACAGTATATTAAATGTGGTATTATAATTGTATTGTACAGCAAATACAAAGCTTTCTCATTCAATAAATCCTTTACTCTATATAGTACAGCTGTGGATTTGGATAATTTACTTTTTACAAGATTTATGTGCTGTTTCCAAGACAATCTGTCATCAATAACCACACCCAAAAACTTTGTTTCACTCACTCGACATATTTCAATATCATCGATTTTGAAAGGAACATCAGTAGTTGTCACTCTATTACCAAAAATCATATAATTTGTTTTATTAATATTCAATGATAACTTGTTTAAATTAAACCAAGTTTGTATTTTGACAAACTCCCTCTTAATTAACTCTAACATTTGTTCCAAATCAGTACCGGAATAAAAGAAAGTGGTGTCATCTGCGAAAAGAACACATTTTAGGATACTGGATACATCAATTAAGTCATTAATATATAAAATAAACAGCTTAGGACCAAGTACAGAGCCTTGAGGTACTCCACATGAAACATCACAGATCAGCAGCAACATGAAACAGATCAGTAGTAACATGAAACAGATCAGCAGCAACATGAAATAGATCAGTAGCAACATGAAACAGATCAGCAGCAACATGAAACAGATCAGCAGCAACATGATGTGATTTTTTCACAGTGATTATTCTAGTTAGAGATTCATGAGTTTAACAGCTTCAGGGTAGAAGCTGTTCCTCAGTCTAGTGGTTCTACACTTAACCTCCTTCCTGAGGGGAGCGGGGCAAAAAGTGTGTGTGCTGGGTGAGTGGGGTCCTTCATGATGCAGGTGGCCCTCTGACTCTGTTGATGAAAAGGGAAGAAGAGTAAACAAAACAAAAAAAAGAGGATAGAAGGACTGGCACAGAAGAGAATAGATACTGAGCTTTACATATGGAGGACGGTTTGAGGTGTAGTCTTTTTTATTATTTTTATTTTTTTTTACTTTGGATAGAAAAGTAAAAATGTCCCATTTTTATCACACTGTAAAAAGAAACTCTGCTCAATAAATTTTAAAACATTGATACTTAAAGACAAAATTTAAGAATAACTGCATGTGCTCAACAAGAGATGTTCAAAATGGTCACACAACCACAAAAATTTAATTTAAACATTTAATGGGAAATATACAACATTACTGTATTTCTGTTTGTCGTTGGTTTGTGAAAACTTTTTTCAACATGATGTTTGCATTATTTCACAATTCTTCCACCAGGTTCAGGTTTGTGCAGGGATAGTCTTTGTCATGGTCATTTATTAAGAACTTACTCCTGTAGTAATTTTATTTTACATCTATCAAAAGACATTTAAAATACTTCCAATCTTTTCTAATGGGGTTCTGTGAAAAGGTTATGAACAAATAGTGTCTTACCTGTGTAGTTTGCCTGACCTCAGCTTAGTGAATATTTTCTAAGTTTTATCTAAATTTCTTTCTAAATTTGATGTTTCTGTTCAGTGCCCTGAGATGACTTCTGTTGTGACTGGGCGCTACATAAATAAAAACTGAATTGAATTAAATGTAATAAAAAGTTTATTTGATAAACTTGTTAGAGGCAGCAGCTAGCTGTCGCACTTCCAGTAGTAATGTAATAATACATGTTCTAAAATCACTGTAATCAGAAACTGACAGCAATGTGAAGATAATAAAACAGTTTTAAAGTATTTTTGAGGATGGAGTGTTAAAATACAGGCGCAGTCTTGATGGCTTGCTACTAGCCGTTAGCTCATCAGTCTGATCAGAAATAAATTGAATTTCTCCAAACTGAGGTCATTTAAAGAGTTATTTACAAATGGTAAGATATTTATTGTAATGATCTTTCAGTAGAACCTCACTTGAACGTGTCTGAAGTACACGTTCAAAGCAAATGAAAACCTTTTTTCCAAAGACTCCTCAGTTACCGCTCACTATGTCGACATCAATTTGACATTAAAAAAAACTTAAGGAATGAGTCATTTTTCATTCAACCTTTATTTAAACAGTTAAGTCACAATGAGCCTCAAAGACCCATTTACAAGTGAGATCTGTTTAGACAGACAAAAAGTAGTGAAACTGGACGCATGTAGGAATTGGAGGCGAAAAAAAAAAAGTTATCGTAAATCCAGTTAAATATGCGTCCTTAAAATCCACAAATGTCAGCAGAGATAGAAACATCATCAAGTCTTCAAGTCGATGAGATATCCAGCTGCGTGCGTGCCAACAGGGCAATCGGCTCACCTAAAGCCTGTCTTCTCTTTGAAGAAATGTTATGAAGTGTGTTGAGGGACCAACTGATCAAAACAAGTCCATAATTATGGTTCAGAAGATATGCAAGAGAGGCTCAGAAGCAGTTTCACAGACAGAGCAGCAAAGCGGAGAGGGAGGGGAGGGGAAAGCGTCCGATCTCGGCAAGAGCAAGTGGTGATTGTGCTTTTTATACATTTTTCTAGTGTGACTTATCTGACCTGTTGTAGCACGGTGGCTCAGTTGGTAGAGCTGCTGCCTCTCAGCGAGCAGGTTACCCCAAATCAAAACCCGGTCTGGAGGCCTTTCTGGGTGGAGTTTGCATGTTCTCTCCGTGCATGCGTGGGTTTTCTCCAGGTACTCCAGTTTCCTCCCATAGACCAAAAACATGCATGTTAGATTGATTGGTAACTCTAAATTGTCTCTATGAGTGAGAGAGTGAATGGTTGTTTGTCTCCTTTGTCTCTATGTGTCCCTGTGATGGACTGGAGACCTGTCCATGGTGTCCCCCACCTCTCGCACAGTGACTGCTGGATATGGACAAAAGTGACTCCCGTGACCCAAAAAAGGAAGAAGTGGGTAAAGATAATGGATGGATGATCTCTTATAGTTTTAACCCAAGTGCAGGCAGGACTCGGAGGATTCAGTATTTAAACAAAAGATATTTATTAAACAAAAACAATGGCAGATGTGGCAGCAAAATTGACATATAGGGAGGTGATCACTGGAGGAGCAGGAACAGGAACAGGAGCAGGAACAGGAGCAGGAGCAGGAACAGGAACAGGAGCAGAAGCAGGAACAGGAGCAGGAGCAGGAGCAGGAACAGGAACAGGAACAGGAACAGGAGCAGGAGCAGGAGCAGGAACAGGAGCAGGAGCAGGAACAGGAACAGGAGCAGGAGCAGGAGCAGGAGCAGGAACAGGAACAGGAGCAGAAGCAGGAGCAGGAACAGGAACAGAAGCAGGAACAGGAGCAGGAACAGGAACAGGAACAGGAACTGAACATGGCACCACGAAGGATAATCCTCGGGCAGGGGAACAATAAAAAACCCGCAGAATATAAGGACACACTAATGAGGGGATAAACATGAACACCTGGGGCAGGACAACAGGTGGCGGAGCTTGATTACACGAGGAGCAGGACTAGGACATACCACAAGGGAGCACAATCCTCACATGACAAGCTTAAATATAAAACAAGGTACATTTGTATATAACCCCCCACCCCCCATTTTCATGTTGCATATTAATGCACATTTGATCATCCTCGGTTCAAAACACACTGTAGCTCTTGTCACTTTAAGGCTCGTGTTTAAAAGGTCTCATCACAGCTGTGATGCAGGATTAATAGAAACAAACATGTTTTATTGGAGGTTCTCCAAAGGAGCCACTTTGTGGACCTAAGTATCTGTGATGAATGGCAGCGTTGATGACTGACAGCAGAATAACTAGAGCTGCCTTTCAGTGAATGCAGTGTCTCTGTGGGAGAGAATAACTCCCTGTGGTCGGGACGTTATGCTTTGCAACTATTAACATTTTTCACACACAAAAGCTAGTGGAAGTAATTACACACTTTTCCACACTCATTTTTTTTACATCTTCCTAATGCAATTAACATTTTTTTTACCAATTTCTTTCATTTTGCTCTACTAAGCTCAACTTTCTTTCTATGCAAAATGTTCAAACCCTGCACTGTCCCCCCCTGCTCCACTTCTGTCTGCACTTCAGTAATAATTGTCATTTTGACTCCTGCGGTTAGCCTACATGTCCTCATCCTGTTTCCGGCAGGTTTTGCGAGTCCAGAGACAGGTATGGCGGTGCCAGGTCAGAGCACCATGCACAACTCCCTGCACGTCTTCATGAACGGCTCCATGTCCTCTGTCCAGGGGTCAGCCAACGATCCCATATTCCTGCTGCATCATGCTTTTATTGACAGGTAACACACACTATACACACATATGTCTACACTTACCAAACGCCAGACTTCACGTTAATGCAGTAGGATCGCATTCTCCCACTTATTGTTGGTCATTTCAAAATAAAAATACAGGAGTGAGTGAGGGGAAAGTGTACAATTTTAAAATACTTAAAAATTATTTCTCCTCTAGTATCTTTGAGCGCTGGCTCAGGACCCATCAGCCTCCTCGGACCATCTACCCACGTGCCAATACCCCGATTGGTCACAATGACGGCTACTACATGGTGCCCTTCCTTCCTCTCTACAGAAACGGAGACTACTTCCTGTCTAACAAAGCTCTCGGTTACGAGTACGCCTACCTGTTGGACCCTGGTCAGTTCATACCATGTCCACTTTGTGTATTTTTACAGCCTTTCCTTTCATGAAACAGCATTTTAACCTGTCTGCCTCATCACAGGTCAGAGGTTTGTGCAGGAGTTCCTGACTCCCACCCTGCAGCAGGCCAGGGAGATCTGGCAGTGGCTGCTGGGGGCGGGGATCCTTGGTGCTGTGATCGCTACAGTTCTTGCTGCACTGGTTGTTGTCGTCAGGAGGAGGTGGAGGAGGAGGAAGAGGACGGCGAGCTTTGAGGAGCGACAGCCACTACTGCAGAGCAGCTCAGAGGAAGGCTCATACCAGACCACGCTTTAACACACAGATGTGACGAGGAACAAACTACGGCATTCAGGAAGTCTTTGAACGAGATGCAGTCCAAAACAAGACTTCATTTAATAATACAATAATGTGTCTGACACAGCTCTTTATTAATAAACACAGATGCCAAAGAGTCAGTGAGGTGTTTCTAAAGATCACAAAAAAACACCTCGTCAGATCTCACTGAACACAGAGTGTGATGTCATTGCCTTTTAATCAATTGTATCTAAAACACTATAAAGGAGGTCAGTTTTGTTTGTTGCAGAGCGGATACAGAAATGGATAGCAAAACATCATACAGCCTGCTATATACTTCATATATACTGTTGGATAACTTAATTATCCTACGTGATAACCCCCCGTCCAAAAGATAAAATGCTCTCACCCTGAGCTCAAAGAGGAGGAGGGCAGTCAAGTCAGATTTATTTATATATCACATTTAAAACAGAAACTGTTGCCAAAGTGCTTATAACAAAATGATCACAGCATCAAATAAAAAGTAATGATATAATTACAGCACATGGAATAAAAGTATAAAAGCAAAACATAAATAGAAACAATGAAATGAAATAGAAAATCAGATCACCCTGTGTCAAACAATAAAACAAAACAAAAAAAGCATAAACACAGTCAGACAGAATGAAATACTAAATCATATCAGATTACCGTGCGTTAAATAGGAATACGACAAAAGCATAAACACAAGAATTAATAAAAAAAAAACTAAATGTAAATTGAATCACCCTCAACGAGTACAGGTGAGTTTTCAGGAGAGTTTTAAAAGCAGAGACTGAAGTGGCCTGTCGAATGTTGATGGGCAGATTATTCAGATTATTATTATTTTGGGGGAGTGGTGGTGCAGAGGTTAGAGAAGACGGGCCTGTGATCAGAAAGTGCGACAAACAACATACATTGATTCAACATTGATTCAATGACATCTTTTCATCATCGGTTAATTGACTAAAACTGGATGATTGGTTAATGATTGATTCACCATCAATCATCAAGCTTAACCAAAAATCAACCTTTCTGACTAAATTTCAACATTGAATCAATATAATTTGCTATCTGGGTCATTAATAGTGATGCACAATATTATCGGCATGGTATTGGGATCGGACGATATTATTACAATATCGGACATCGGCCATTCCATTAAAATAACTCGCCGATAGACTCTGTTTTTGTATGACAACTCAGTGACAAGGATGCCTGCAGCGGCAGCACAACGTTATGACGTCGCACACGCCTACCTGATCCGATCATGGCGGAGAGGAAAAATTCAAAATGTCGGCGGTGTGGAAGTTTTACTTTTCGTTGAGGATGTCAGATTCCGAAGATTTATAGACTGAGCTGAGCCTCGCTACATCGTCCCCAATCAGAGATATTTTTCCGACGTAGCCCAAGCCGTCATTTCTGACGTCATTGAGAAGCTAATAGCTGATAGCACTTGGGTGAGTTTTACCACAGATATTTGGACTTCAAGTGTTAGCCCCGTTAGCATGATTAGTCTTACGGCACAATGGATAGACAAAAACTTTGATCTTTAAAAGTCTGTCCTTCATGCACAGGAGTGCAGAGGATCCCACACTGCAGCTAGGAACCTGGAACAAGTCTCCACAAGTGTGACAGCATCGCAGGTGACTAATGCTAATAAATAATATTTAACACTTTTCATTTAATATAAGTTAAAGTGTTATGCATATCATATGGTTGTTACTGAATATATGTCACCAGCTCTTACAGCTGTTGCACAATTTTTTCAGCAAATAAGCCTAAATAAGAGGAATATGTTCTGACAAAGGAAAGTATAATAAAAATATTGGTATTGGTTATCGGCCAAATAAGTTCCAATATATCGGCATATCGACCAAAAATCCAATATCGTGCATCTCTACTCATTAATCAAATAAGCCACACAAGAAAGTGAGATATTTTCAATCCAGGTTTACTACTTGCAAGGGGTGCATCAATGAAAACAGACATACAAGATGGTACATGTCGCTCCGTTCCAAGGTCTGCCCGCGGACGAGTTTAGGAACAGCTTAAATACTCGTTATCAGACAGACGAGGTCAAGACACGACCTCTGAACAGCTCAGTTGTTGAAGGCCTCAGAAGTGATCAGTTAACAGGCTCCTCTCTGAGTAGACAGAAAGGCTCTCGTGACTTCACACAAATGGTTCTATATTAATTTAACATTAGTAAGTGAAAACATCCATGACCTTTACATAACTTCCCCCAACATATACCTCATACTCATCTGGTACTTAGCAAGCACTGGTACAGACTTGGTATGTAAATTATTAAAGTCAGATCTAACATCGTCAGGCTGTTTAAACTCACTTTTTAGATTTCGTGCACAAAATAAGCCAGAATCACAACAGCAATGTAAAAATGTGAACTATTTTACTGCCCTTTGGATAAAATAGGACTGACATATTTGCTTTATCAGGTGTAATTTCAATTATATATTTTTCTGCTCAAGCATTCCATAAAAGTTTTAAAGAGTTAAACGTACAAACTTTGCAGCTCTCTGGTGTTTAACAAGAACTCCAAATCAATCTGAAAACACTCTTCTGTGTGTTTGCAGTGGTGCTAAAGAGGATTAAAACCTCTGGGCTTCAAAGGCTCCTGTTGGCATGGTAACAAAATGAATTATGAGTTTGTTCTTGCTGCAATAAAATCAGAGGAATCAAAGTGGCTCTGACTTGTTTATATATATATTGATGATGATGAAGTTGGTCAAACAGATTTCTTATTAAACGTCCCTGTAAAGCAGAAATCTGGGTTGTCAATTGTTTATTCTTTGGGTTTTGAGGTCACGTCTGATTTAACAGGTAAACTGACATGTTTTCTTTTAGTTACCCTCTGTGGTTTCAAAATAAGGTTTTCTCTAATAAAACTAGAGTCTAGCTTACAGATCGTATTGCTGTCAAACAGTGTTGTTGGTAAAAGAACAGCCGCCAATTGAAAAGTCATGTAATAAAATATAAAAAGTAAAATTTGGAAACGATAAATAAAAAGTCTATTTTATTCCATACTTTACTTGTTCTTAAAATAAACTAAGTAAACATAAAAGTGAATATTTCCATGTATTTTTTACAAAAAGCAAAGTTATTCTTAAAACAAAACAAACACTTGCACTCAGTTTTCATTAAATTATTTGACATAACCTAGAATTTAATTACTACTAACAATACTTTTAACTCTTTAGTTACACATAAAAGTATAGATACAAATATTATGGGCACATTGCCAAAGAGGCTCATCTGACCTTTAATACATTTGACATTAAAACTAAAAAGTCTATAAATTAAAACAGACTGAGTAAAGCTGTAATGTAAGTTTGTATAATGCAAATTTTTGGTAAAACCATAATGATGCGCATTATGTGAACACTGTAGCGGTTCCCCTTCCCTCTCTTATGACAGAAAGAGCCCAAGAATTCATTTATTCTTATAAACGAATCAAATACTTGACACAATAAACCAGGTTTGGAAAACTGAACTCAAAACAGAAACTCTCAAAATCATGAAGGAGTGCGGGGGACAAAAGACCCCCAGTACCATCCAAACAGACAATCCTGAGGTTTCTGTCTGCACTTATAGCTGAATCAACATTATTATAAAGTACAATAAAACAAAGCAGAGGTGATTTTACAGAAAATAAATCATCAGTTTCACCTACTATTAGAAATGGTAATGAACACTTGCAGAAAGCTTTAACGAACAGGAACAAGCTAGATGCTAATAAGAAATATTTTCTCAGTAAAAATTATTTAAAAAAACCAACAAGATTTGTTTACTGCCCCAAGTATAGGTGCAGAGGGTGCTGCAGCACCCCCGCTGAATGCAGGAGGACATACGTGTCCAAATACATGATTAAAAATTGAATTTCAGCAATGATCCAATAATATCTAGATATTCTCGACCTTGCTAAATATGGTGCTGTTACTGTGTGCAAAAAATGAAACCAAACAAATCTCACAAAACAGTGGGCAGATCAGCACCGGGTCATGACTGCAGTTATTTTAGGTATGGTCTGACTAAAATAAACAGCATAATATATATTTTTTTAAATCTCACATTTAGATAAGACAACATGCACAGCCAGTGTGCATTGCACTGCATATCTTTGGCATAAGATAATCTTCATATGGGAGTTCCTACAGCTATAGAAAATCCTACAGTGAAACTGACCATGTGCTTGGAACTAAATGCAAATAATATTACACATAGATAAGAAATTTTTAAATGTGGATCTGAGGTAAAGAAACATATTTTGCTTCAGCTATAAATAGGCCTGTCGCGATAAACAATAAATCAATTCATCGCATGATGAATGAAAATTATTGACCTCATTTTCATTTACCGGCTTTATTGTTTCTTCGTGTCTCTCTCTTTCAACTGAAGACACGGCTCAACTCCTGAGCTCTTCACTGACCCCTCCCTTTCTCTTTAAAATCCATTTTAATCGTCCAAAAATGCGTTTTTGGATCGTTAAAAGCAGCTAAGATGAGAAGCTAAGCTATGAGCTAAGCTAACAGGCCGACCTCGAGAATAAACCTCTGTCTTGTCGAAGCTCCAAAATTCACGGTTGAAACCTGTGCCTTTGTCTAAAAAGTTATTTTTCTCTGCAAAAAGAAGCTGAGAACTTGTTTACTGATGTTTTATTAAAAGCTTTGAGTTAAAAATGCTATGCTAAAGAGCTCAAACCATCGAGCGTCTGCCATGTCAGCCCATGTCATGTCAAGGGCCCTCCCTCCCATTTTTCTTTCAACTATCCATTCTTTGGTTCAGTCTTATACTGCCATCAGGTGGTCAAAAAAGGTACTACAAGCAAACAAAAATCAACATTTCTTCTAAAATTTGACAATTATTGTTACATTTCAAACAATATTATCGTTTGTCGCAATAATTTCTGAGACGATTAATCGCCCAGCAAAATTTGTTATCGTGACAGGCCTAGCTATGCAGGGCATCTCCCTAAATAACGCCTCCATCTTCTGTCTGAGCCTCATAACTCATATGTCTAGAACAGAAATCGATCGCTTCAAAATAGACTGGAAAAGAAAACTGATCTCAAAGTCTCGTACTGTGCGGGCGGCTTCAGTGTTTCAGTCCGTTGTCTCATCCCTGAGTGATTGTACTGAGTGATGCTTGAACCTTGGGAAAGATGAACTCCCTCCAGCTGTGTTGGTTGGAGCCTCGCAGGTAGAGGCAGACATTTTTCTTTTTACATTAGAATCCTGCGTGAGGAAACAAAGCACCAAGGCTTGTAGAGAAACAGCATTATGGGAAGACTGAGCAGGGAGCTGCTGTCTCCAGTCTCCCTCACGTGCTCACACAATCACATGATGAAGCAGGAGCAGCTGAAGCCCTCAGCTGGAGGTCAGGATGGTCACCCAGCAAGTGAAGTTTTGTCTGGAATCCTTTTGGTGAGTTTTATTAATGCCACGAGCCACATGACAGCCTGAAGGTTCAGAAATTCACGTCCAGAAACGCACTTCGACCGAAAAGCTTTTGTCCTAAAATGAATGAAAACTCGTTCATCCAGTCCACCGAGCTGCGATGGTGACTCAGCTGAATGACTCCTTGTTGAATTCAAAGGTCGTTCCACAGGATCGGGAGGAGTTACACAGTCTACGGAGAGTTCTGGAGATGCCTTTTGGTCCACAGCAGAACACGCCAACTCGATTACTGAAGCCACAGAGACATAAAGAGGCATTCAGGGTTTCGCAATAATCCGTCAACTCTTTTCTTATTCCCCCGCTACTTACTGTTTGTTGCTCTTTCCGATCTCGTCAAGGAGTAACTTCCACCTGGGCCGACCCACCTGCAGCCTGGACGAGAGCAGACGGTGCCGCTCCTCAGACAGTGTCTGAGAAAAGGGAGTAAATGACAACAAGGTTTCTATTACCCATAATGCAGGAAAAGCACAATAAAGTTCAGATGTACTTTGTTTGGGGCATGTTTGATATCCAGCAGGACATAGACTCAGTCTGCGCTCTGGAGTTGAACTGAACAGATTTAGAAGGCGAGGTGAGGGAAAGCAGAGCGTTCTGAGCTGCAGGGATTGTTTTGAGACGAGAAACCTACAGATGTTCGCTGCGTTATTATTCACCGCAGCTAAGGTTTATGCCCCGGTCTCTGTGTTCATCTGTCTGTAGCGTTAGCAAAATATCTCATGAACCACTGAGGCAATTTTTATTGAAACTGACAGAAAGTAATCATTGAATAAACATCTGCAACTGGCGCAAAATGGCCGACACAACTAAATCAGCTTAGCAAAGACAAGAATGTCCGTAGCTCAGTAAATTCTACTAATGCTGAGCTACAACTTGGTGTGGTAGTAGCTACCCATATCATGAGTGCTAACTAATTGCATGAGATGTGTTTTTAAAACTTAGCCATTAACTTGTGGAGTCAACTACGTCCATCTGTTAGCAACATATCTTATGAAAGAGTGGATATATTTGAATGAAACTTCCAGAAAGTACTCGTTGGATGTACGTCTGTAACGGATTAATTTCAGGTGTCCACTCAGCTCAAGATGCCTGTTACAGCTAATAGATGTCTGCCAACATAAAAAATGGCAATAACTCAATCAAATGTACAAACAGCGTACTAATTATTTTGTGGCAGTAGCTGAGACTGATCCTCAGTGCATGCTCTGATTTCTAACGTATCTTGAGAGGCCTCAGTCTCTCTCACACACAACATCAGTTACGTCACCATTTGGCACCAAAAGATGATCTTGGATTAAAACGTTTACATAAAAAGCAGTGGGTGACATGTATTCTATCAAATAATCTTAGGCCTTTTTATTTGTTGCTACAGACTGCACTCAAAATTTGATTGTTTTTATGCTTTATCATTTTGGACTAAGCTTTAAAATGATGTCAGCCTTGAGACACCTCTGTCCTGCGCCGAGAGAAAACTGTTAACTTAGCTGGTTGACTGGGAGAGGAATCATGTGCTTGATATGGATTTTATCATCCAATTTTGTGTTACATATCTTTATTTTATATCAAATTAACACTTACTGTTGTGTTTTACATTTATTTAAACTTTTTATAGAATTGTATTTTGATGGTCTTCATCTCATTATCTTGATTGGACACCCTTGAAGAAGAGAGGCTGCATCTCAGTGA